TTGTAGTAGTAGTACATATAAAAGAGGAATTTTTATGGTTTTGAGTAAATATACTAGCTGCTCGTTGCTTTTGGATGCCTTGGTAAGAATGTTGAGGTACTTAATATATACCTACTGTTCTTCTTCATAGTTGCATTTCCAATGTATGAAATTGATGTAATATGTGGAGGTTGAGAATCTTGAGATATGAATGATTTTAAAATCAACAAATGAATAAGTATTCACACTTGAGGTATGATATTTTGTGTCTTGGAAAAGAGATGCAGTGATCATAGTTTTGGTAAAACAAGGGCATGGATTAGATTGTCCTTGTAGATTCTTCGGCTGATGTTGTGTTCTTGAATGAACGTATAGTAGTAGCTTGGTACCCATGGATCATGACTTTTGATCTGTTGGCCTAGCTGTGTATGCTTTTTTTTTTTTTTTTTAAACATTTGGTGTCACTGTGCATTTTAAGTTGAAATATGCTTGTAGAATATAATAATATTGTAAGTGAACATTCAGGGAATTGACTAACCAAAATAATTTCTTCAGATTAAATGGATTTTATTTTCTATGTACTTGTGATCAGCTACATTCATCCTTTGTCCTTGACCTTAGTTTTTTGTTTTTGGGTTTTAAATCATGGGTTGCATTTCTTAGTTTTCCCTCTGGTGCCTTTCTTTCCCTCTCTCTAGCCGACCCCCTCCTCCTTCTCTTGAGTTAAATTCAGTCAAAATAAACTAAAGAGGGAAGTTTGAGTGTATAAAGCCTTTACAATAAAACCCACTAAGGCCAATATAATAGTAATAAAGTAGTTGGGTTCTAATTCATCAATTTAATTAATTTAATCTGACACGAATAAATTTTCAATTAAATTTCACCGTAGGTTCTAAAAATTATGCCAATTACAATGGCGTAATCAATTTCGGGTTCTATGGCTGATAAGGCCTCCAATTTAATTTCCGAAGTGGTAAAATCAAACAGATATTCCTACGGTGAACAAATAGAAATTCAAAACCACATATTTTCATATAATGGCATACAAAATCATAACAAACACATAATCACATCATATTAAGGACCAATTAACATATTACAGAACAGGGGTATTACAATTTTTTTGTTAATTTTTATCTTTATTGAATTATTTTTGACATTTTAGAAAAAAATTATAATTTTTCGATTCGTTTTGTCGAATGAAAACGAAAAATAAGAAAAAGTCACGTTTTTACCTTTGGCGACCAAAATTTTGGTAGCCAAAAGTTTGTTTTTGGAAATAATTAGTTTCGGCGACTAATTGGATTTTGGTCGCCAAATAATGCAGTTTCACCGACTATGTTTTTGGTAGCCAAACGTGCCACGAAATTGTGGAGGGAATATTACTTTTTCATAATATATATTAGCGACGAAAATAATTTTTGGTCAGTAATAAATATTTTTTTCTTCTATTTTCATTGCAAAAGTATCCAAGTTCCCTCCCTCTCGCACTCCCGCCTCTATCACTGCTCTGTCTCCATCGCAAGAGTTGCTGTATCATCCCCCGAACTCCCTCCCAGGTATCTGTCTCATTCTCTCTGTATCTCCCTCTCCATTTCTTAAACATCTCACAAGGCCTCTCGGTTTCCCTCTTTCTCTCTCTCTCTCTCTCTCTCTCTGTTTACATACACACACACACACATACATGCATATATATATATACACACACACACATGAGTCATATATTCACAACCTTGATTCCATATATACTCGATTATATACACAAATCATATGTACACTCACGCCTCTGCCCTCTTCTCTACAGGAATAGTCTCCATTGCCCGAACTCCCTCCTAGGTATGTTTGAATTTCGCATCTGTCTCTCCCTCTCTCTGTATCTCCCTCTCGATTTTCCTCTGTTTCTATCTGTCTCTGTTTACACACACACACATACATATATATATATATATATATGTCAAAACACACAGAATATGAAGTACGAAATGCCCTCAATTAGGGCATTGTTATTGAAATGTGATTCAAATTAAAAATTAGGGCAATGCTTGGGGTGAATCAAGCCATTTGCTACATAAACTAGGGCAAAGTCTTGTAGTAGTAGTACATATAAAAGAGGAATTTTTATGGTTTTGAGTAAATATACTAGCTGCTCGTTGCTTTTGGATGCCTTGGTAAGAATGTTGAGGTACTTAATACATACTGAGAGGGTAATTTATGCTCCGGTGTTGGGCCGAGGTATAGACCGAGCAAGTTGAGGGCCCAGCAGAGCATTGGGCCGAAATGATCGACTGTTTGCCCAAAATGGGCTGCCAGAACTTGGGCCGGGCAGAGTTCGGGCAGAGTGTCACCCCGGACCGGACAGAAACTGCTCGGCAAGGCAGTGCTCGGTCGGTCCAGGATGCTCGGTCCGAGGACGGCCAAAGCCGGATTGGCCGAGTGACCGGGCAACCAGGAAGGCATGGACAACCGAGGAAGTTGAGAGGCCGGTGCCCGGAAAGGCGTGGTAAGCCGAGGAGACTGTATGGTCGGCAGGAAGGCCGATCAAAGTAGGTATCCGGGCTAGGCTCGGCCGGGATGCCGCTTAGCCCGGTCCTCCGTTTGTTTATCCGGTTAGGCGCTTAATGTATGAAGCATGGTACGACCGAGGTAGGGCAGCTCGGCTGCCGAGCCCCAGCTGTGCTGACAGGCAGTTGAGAGCAGGTGATGAATGGCATGGTTTATGCTGACAGATGGGATAGCAGAGCCACGTGTCAGGAGACGACAGGGAGTGGATATGGGGCTCAGAAGGTATATGAGCATGTCTGCGCCCCCCATACGCGATACACGAACATCTCTGTAAGGAATTCTTACACTCAAACACTCTCTCCCTTCTCTCTATCCATCCTAAGGTGTGTGCTAACTTGACCGTCGGAGGGTTTTTCCGGCCACACACCGCCGGGTAGCTCACCGTTACTTGCTCGCAGGTGATCGGACATCGACGGAGCTTGGAAGAAAGAAGTACGGGCTTGCCGGAATATTTGCTCCCCGTACACATACCTACTGTTCTTCTTCATAGTTGCATTTCCAATGTATGAAATTGATGTAATATGTGGAGGTTGAGAATCTTGAGATATGAATGATTTTAAAATCAACAAATGAATAAGTATTCACACTTGAGGTATGATATTTTGTGTCTTGGAAAAGAGATGCAGTGATCATAGTTTTGGTAAAACAAGGGCAGGGATTAGATTGTCCTTGTAGATTCTTCGGCTGATGTTGTGTTCTTGAATGAACATATAGTAGTAGCTTGGTACCCATGGATCATGACTTTCGATCTGTTGGCCTAGCTGTGTATGCTTTTTTTTTTTTAAACATTTGGTGTCACTGTGCATTTTAAGTTGAAATATGCTTGTAGAATATAATAATATTGTAAGTGAACATTCAGGGAATTGACTAACCAAAATAATTTCTTGAGATTAAATGGATTTTATTTTCTATGTACTTGTGATCAGCTACATTCATCCTTTGTCCTTGACCTTAGTTTTTTGTTTTTGGGTTTTAAATCATGGGTTGCATTTCTTAGTTTTCCCTCTGGTGCCTTTGAGACTGGGTGCAATTATTGATCTTTTTGCTTATGAGAAATATATCTTCGTTGACGTTCTCTAAAGTCTTTCTGAGATGCATTCATATTTTAATAATCATCTCTTGTATTTCCAGTTGCCGCATCTCTTTCGCAATGCTATGGAATTTTTTCCATAAAAAATCATTATGTTCTTGCTGATCAGAATATTTAATTCAATTTTCTGGAAATTTATTTTTGGTAATCTGAATGGGGTGATTTAAATCAGGTTCTGAATGGTTTCTATGCAAGAAATTGCCGACTAACATGTGAAGTCATAGATCTTTGAACACTTCTCACACTTCCATTTCTTTTCCCCATGTTTTCTGGCAAAAGTGTTTCTTGATTCCATTGAGATCACCAAGAGCCCTTGAAGGATTGTGGTGCACACAACTAGGCTTAGGGCACACATAGTGCTTTATGTTATCTTCGCTTTTTCTTTGCTTCAGCGTCCATGGAAGGTTGTGTCCTCTCCTGCGAAGCTGCAAGTTTTGATCTCTCTAAAACCCCACCTTGTGTTTTGTTTATTTCATTTTTAAAATTTTTAGAAATGGTCATTGGATGTGCAACGATTGATTTCAGCCGTTGCAACAATGCATAGCTCATGTGTTTGCATCGATGTTGTAAATTTTGCTTTTACTGCCTCAACCTCACGAGTACCCACGAGCCACTGCTTTTTTTAATAAATAACATGTCATGCACACACACTGTGAAGAGCATGAAAATGATGAAGATGGATTAATGGCTTAACTTCCATAATTACGCATTGTTTTAGAACAAATCGTGTCACAAAGTCCCACCCTAAAAGAGATTTATGTGACAAGCCAAACAGTGAATGAAAAACAACATAATCTATCTCAACTTGAAATGCGTGTTCTCATTTGTTCCTCGGTTAATCTTTGTGTGAGTTGTAGGTGACAAAATGCATTTCCAAAGAATGTACAACATTTTGTTCAATGTATTTGGATGGAGTTGAAACATTGTTTAACCGCCCAGAAAGGAATTATGACATGGGTGACCGTGGCCTAGGGTTGGCGGTATTCACTCAAACTGTACGTCCCTTTGGTCTAATGACCAAGGACATTTTACCAGAATGTGATCCAACAGTTCCATGGACACTCTATGATGTTAAGAAGTTCTTACGTGACTTGGGTTTGGGATATGAAACAATTCATTCGTGCAAGAATGATTGTGCACTATTTTGGAAGGAGAGTGTTAATTTGGAGAAATGCCCTACATGTGACGCGTGTAGATACAAGTTGAACGATGATGGTGGTAAAAAGATTCCACACAAGGTATTACGGTACTTTCCATTGACACCGAGGTTGAAAATACTGTATATGTCCAAAAAAACAGCTGCAGATATGAGATGGCACAATGAGAAGCGTGTGGATGATGACATATTAAGGCACCCGGCCGATGGTGAAGCATGGAAGGACTTTGATAAGCAACATCCGACGTTTTCTGATGACTCTCGAAATGTAAGGCTAGGGCTGGCAACAGATGGTTTCAATCCATTTGGGAATATGAGCACATTATATAGCATGTGGCCCGTAATCTTAATGCCTTACAATCTTCCACCGTGGAGGTGCATGAAAGAGCCATATTGCATGATGTCATTGCTTATTCCCGGACGTTCGGCACCTAGAAGAGACATTGATGTTTACTTGCAACCATTAATAGAAGAATTGAAGAATTTGTGGAAGCATGGTGTGCAAACATATGATGCATTGAATGGGTAAATTTTTAGAATGCATGCGGCGGTAATGTGGACCATAAATGACTTCCCTGCGTACGGTAACATGTCAGGGTGGAGTACAAAGGGTTACTTGGCTTGCCCTAATTGTAACAATAATGCATCGTCCCAGGGATTACGAAGTAAAATAGGGTATATGGGTGCTCGTCGCCACTTGCCTGAGAACCACACCTGGCGAACAAGTAAGCTCTTCAATGGTCAAACGGAGCATAGGTCCAAACCTTTGGACATATCGGGGGACCAAATACTAGAGCAAATTGATTCTGGGACTTACAAGCCGTATGGAAAGCACCCACAAAATCGAAAACGACAAAGGAATGAACATCAAAATTTGAATCGGAGCAAGAGAAGCATTATGTTTGACTTGCCCTATTGGAAAACATTGAAGCTTCGACACAACCTTGATGTCATGCATATTGAGAAAAACATATGTGACAATGTTGTTGGGACACTTTTGAGCGTAGATAGAAAGAACAAGGACATGGACAAAGCACGCTTAGATTTGGAGGACATGAAAATACGTAATGAGTTACACTTGAAGAGGCGTTCTAATGGGTCCTTTGAGAAGCCTCCCGCATTGTACACATTGTCGGTGAAAGAGAGAGAAGGCTTTTGTGATTTCTTGAAATCAATGAAGTACCCTGATGGCTATGCAGTAAATATCTCCAATTGCGTGACCGCTCAAGCTGGAAAATTATCTGGCCTCAAAAGTCATGACAGTCATGTCCTTATACAACGACTTCTTTCAATTGGGATGCGTGGCTACCTTAATAAGGAAATCGGAACGACACTTTTTGAGTTGGGAAATTTCTTCAAACAATTGTGTTCAAAGACATTGAGGCGTTCAGATTTGCATAAATTGGATGAACAAATCGTACTCATACTTTGTAAGCTTGAGATGATTTTCCTTCCGGCTTTTTTCGATGTCATGGTCCACTTGGCAATTCACTTGCCTCGAGAGGCTATGCTTGGAGGCCCAGTGCAATATCGATGGATGTACCCAATTGAGAGGTATTAACTCAGCCATCGTATTACTGTCAAATTTTAGTTAACGCTTTACTGCTGATATAAATATTGCAGTATAACATTGCCATCGGCTTGCAAAATTAGGTTGCTTGGCCGTCTAAAAGGGTTTGTGGCCAACAAAGATCATCCTGAAGGTTCTATTGCCGAGGCTTACATTTCCAAAGAATGTACAACATTTTGTTCAATGTATTTGGATAGAGTTGAAACATTGTTTAACCGCCCAGAAAGGAATTATGACATGGGTGACCGTGGCCTAGGGTTGGCGGTATTCACTCAAACTGTACGTCCCTTTGGTCTAATGACAAGGGCGTCCGATGTGTTCGTAGCTGAACGCGAGTTGGCTCATTGGTCCTACACAATAGCACAGAAGTGGATAAACACGTAGAGTATGAATCCTTCAAACGTATTTAAAGTGTTTTTGTTGTAAATTGATTAGTCTTTATCTTAGTAAATATTTTTGAATCGCATTTCTTATAACTAGGGAGCACAAGAACTTGTTACACCAAAGAGCCGGTGCGTTCGACATCGAAAACAAACATCGGAAAGAATTTCCTAAATGGTTCAAAGATCATGTAAGTTAGTATTCTCATATCCTACCATAGATTGTACATTATGTAAATGTCACGCATGCTAGTAACATGAAACATGTTCTTCATGTAGATGAATGAATTGCGGAGCCAAGTTTCCCCCGAAGCAACTGATGATATGTGGTCATTAGCCAATGGTCCTAGGGGCTTAGTGAACACACATTCAGGATGTATTTGTAATGGTGTCCGTTATCATACTATCGACTGTGACAACCGTCGGAAAAGTCAAAATTGTGGATTAGTCGTGGAAGGAGAGCATCAAGGCCAATTGATACACTTCTATGGACACTTGTGCAGAGTATGGGAACTGAACTATTTGTTCAGACGTCGGATTGTATTGTTCCAATGTGAATGGTTTAACACCGGTAGTAGTAGAACTATGCGTGTAGAACCACATTTTACAACAGTTGATATAACAAGTCGATGGTACAAAGATGACTCATTCATATTACCAAGTCAGGTTGAACAAGTATTCTATGTTAATGACACCAAATTAGGTACCAATTGGAGAGTCGTAGAAAAGTTCCAACATCGAAGAATTTGGGATGTGCCAGAGATGGATGTCGTACAACCTGGTGATGTGTTCCAACAAGAAGAAACCACCGAGGTGGTACCTACTATGGCTATTAATGATGATGTGGTTTTGCGTCGACATGACATTAAATCTGAAATTATTCCAATGGAAGTGTTGCAATCTGTCAGAGTTGTAGAAGCCAAGGGTGTTATAGATGATGCCTTCATCTGTGATGATGAAGATGGATTAATGAGGGAGGGTGACGACACAGACGAAGAATATGACCTACAAAGTGATTTTGATACAGATGTTGATGTAGAATCTTGAATTTGGTCATGCTTTACTTCATGCCATAATTTGAGCAATGTGAATGTTCAATTGGTGCACAAATGCAAAGGAAACTCAAAATAATGAAGGGGGATCTATCTTCGTAAATGTCAATAAACTCAGAAATCAATGTGTGTTTAAGGCAGCTAATCGAAACTGAAATGGGTGGAGTTTTGCTGTGGGTGTACCCACTCAGTGCAGAAGTGCAGTCCCTGGACTCATGTTTTTGTTCTCTGCCATTCTATGTTTTTTTCCTCTGGTTTATCTCTGCCCTGCCTTTGCTGATCTGCCCTGGAAGGGTTGCTGTCCAGAATGTAGTGGGAGGCATTTTTGGTGTATCTTTGGTAGTGAAGTTTATGGTGTAGCTTTGGTATCTAACTGCTGCTTACTGTGTGAAGTAGAATGTTTTCTGAGGGGGCTGGTTAAAAAAATTAAAAAAGCCAATGGAATTCAAGTGAAATATCAAATATTTTACTAAATACTTACATGAGTGTGAAATTCGTGTAAGTATTTAATAAAATATTTGATAATTCATTTGAATTATCAAATATTTTATTAAATACTTACACGAATTTCACACTCATGTA